ATTTTGAGCTTCTTGCTAGTGAAGCTAAAGAAAAAGTAGTGTAACATGGAACATGATGGCAGGTGGGTTCTTTGTCTTACGCATTTGAAGAATAAAATCCAGACACAAGGATTAAAGCAAAGTAATAGGATTTATTAGAGTAATAGAAAGCAGAGCCCTCCAAAACAGGAGGAATCTCGATAGAGATGATAATGGGCAACCACTGTCTAGGAGTTTTTGTGGGCTTCATCTGTCCCTATGGTTGGTGGGATAGAGGACTCAGAAAGGATCAACTCTCTCTATTTTGTCTTCCTCAACAAATCTGAGGAGTGTAGTTTTTCAAGCCTTTATTAACATAAGGATGGGGGTGAGGTTTCGTTGGCAAAAGAGGTAGTGCTTTAGAGATTGTGTAGCTGGCCATTGCTAGGATTGGGAGTAGGAGTAACTAAGGAAGAGCTGTTGCAATTGAAGTTGTCAGCAGCAGTGACAGGGTGTTCCCCAGACCCAATGTCTCTTTCAGAATGTCAAGGTCTCATTCCCTCTTTCCCTTCTCCAAGGCCCTTATCCTATCTGCCTATGGATGGTCTACCTTCCTTCCTCATTAGCCTGGGGAGGAAAAGGGTATTAGAATTTATTTTTTAAAGCATGAATTAAGTCATGTAGTTCAATTCTTTACAAACCCTAAGCAATTAGAAACCAAGAGAAGAAAAAAACATCACACATTTACAGCTCACTGTAAAACATACAGATAATCTTGGGGATATAGATCAGTGACAGAGCGCCGTCGTGTGCACAAATCCTAGCATTCAATCCCCAGTACCACCAAAACAAACAAACAAAAAAATACCCCTAACTTGGGAGGCTGAGGCAGGAGTATCACAAGTTCAAGGACATACTCAGCAACTAAGAGAAATCCTAAGCAACTTAGTGAGCCCTGTCTCAAAATTGTAAAATATAATAAATAAATAAAAATGCCTGAGGATGTGGTTCTGTGGTTAGGCATTCCTAAATCAATTCCCAGTACCAAATAAATAAATAAATAAATGTCCGGATAATCTCTTTTCCTCGGGCAAATGACTAGATTGTGGTTTAGGAGGAATCCTAATAAGGAGAAACTGATTCCCCTCTCTGCATCCCCAAATGTTCTCAATACAGTGTTACTTGCAAATGCTGTTGTCTTTCCAATGTAATGTGTACATTTCCATGTTTCTACAATGAATATTGAATGTTTGAATATTGGCACATTGCAGCCACAGTACTCTTTTGGATTGAGATAAACACAGATGTTTTCCAAAATCTGCATAAATAGGCAAAACACTGCTAGAATATTTGCTTTACACTCTATGTACCCTATCTCCCTCTACAAATTATTTTGGTTTTCTCACATCCCTCCCACCTCTGGTCCCCTCTGCTACCAAAGGACCCTGGAAAGATCAAATGTAGAAGACTTAAGAAAAAGTCTGTAGTTACCTCTTTTATTTTTAACATGAATCATGTTATTTTTGTGGTTTCTGTTTTAATCTTTTACACATATGATTCTCTCAATTAATATTAATATATATATATATGTATATATATACACACACGCATATATATGAATGTATGTATCAGTATCCCTTGCAGCTGAAGACTGTGTCTGTGAGCACTGAACTCCACATTTCTGTAGTCCTTCTGAACCCTCCCTCATTCCGCTCACTCACTCACGATTCTCCACACAGGTACACATTCAGAATGCTACCCTCGCAGGAGGAGTTGCTGTGGGCACTTGTGCAGACATGGATATTAGCCCATATGTGGCTATGATCATTGGAAGCATTGCAGGAGTTGTCTCCGTGCTTGGATACAAGTTCCTGACTGTAAGTATGGCAGATATTCTAAGCCAAATCTGGAATCTGTGTTGTTATCTTCTCTTATCCCATCAGCAGAGAAAAGGCACAAAGTTTCCTTTCATAAGTACCTTTCCTTGCCTGGAGGATGTTTGCCATCCTTTCAGAAATACCACCCACATTTCAGGTGTCCAGTGGTTCTACTCTTTCCTGACCTCTCTGTGGCAGCTGGAGAAAGTCTGACATCAGTTACTTAAAATTTAGTATGAATTTAATGTCAGGTGCTTGTGTGTGATTTTCCTCCACAGAATTTCCACTGTGTTATTGTTGTTGTTGTTGATTTTGTATAACTAAGGATTCTAGACTCCTTTAGGGTGTCATCAGAAAGTGAGAAGGAGTAGGATCTAAAATCACTCCCATTCCAACCCATCCACTAAAGATGGAAATGGTGGTTTTGCCACCAATATCCTCAAATTATTTGACATTGGTGGATTTCAGACATGGATAGAGAACCAAATTATAGAGAAGATTTCTTTTTCTGAGGCAGGGGAGGAAATGGGAAAGATGTAGATCAGAGAAAGTAGCAGATATGTAGGAAAAAGAACTTTAGAAATCTAATGTACAGCACGAGTGATACAGAATTTAAAATGTACTGTATGCAAAATTCGTGGTAAATGAGTGGTTTTTAGTTCTCATGCCACAAAAAAAGGGGGGATAACTATGGAGATGTTAATTCACTTCACAATAGTAACTTTTTTACTGTTCATATGTATTCCATAACATTATGCCGTGTATTTTAAAGGTACACAATAAAAATTAATTTATAAAATCTTTATTCTGCATGGTTATTTCATATGTAACATATCTAGCAAAATAATAAGCCTTTCTCCTTTTATAATCATAGCCTTGTTTTGCTGCTAAATTGAGGATCCATGATACCTGCGGGGTGCACAACCTGCACGGCTTACCTGGCGTGATAGGAGGCCTTGCAAGCATTGTGGCCATAGTCATGGGAAAATCTAAAAAGTGAGTCAAAGAATGGCTTGTTCTCTTCCTGGTACTATCTTGTTTTCTCCCCTTCTTTGAGATATCCTTTAATGGGAGAACAAGGTTGTTTGGGGGATTTTGTTTGGGTTGGGTTTGGTTGGTTGGTTGGCTTTTGTTTTTCTAGTATTTCAGGCCCAAATCTGTATTGTTTCTACCGAATTCAAAGAGACACAAATGAGAGAACAAAATTGTATTGAAAGATGCAACTTAACAAATTATTAATGCCCTTTTTAAAAAATTAATGATGTTCATTTAAATTTCTCTACCATAGACAACTGTCATCAGACAGATTAGGCAATATGATAAGCACAATTGGATCGCAGTAGGCTTACTCTTTTGGGGGGGTCCCACCAAAATGGAGGAGAGGCACATGTGGTGAGTTGAAACAGTCACTTCCAGGAAATTTACACAACCAAGGATGAGTTAGCCTAATTTTGGATCTAGCAAATCTGGAAGGCAATGTGTGGCCCCAACACTGCTACCAACAAGTTATGTGACTTTTAACATGTTGCTCAACCTCTCTGGTTCCCCATTTCCTCCTCTATAAAATAAGAAGACGGGACTATTTCATCTCTAAAATCCCTTCTAGCTCTAACAGACTTAGATTCACCCCAAAGGGGGCATAAATGTTTATTTAAATGGCCAGAGGGAAAATAGCAGTCAAGCCCAGAATGGAAATGATACTAAAGGCTATCATTGCCACATTTAGGCAACAAGACTGGAATAATTTGATATGATCACTCAGAAAGTAAGTAAAGAAGCAGAATTCTCAGTTTTAAAAGCCAGTTTTGCCAGGTATGGTAGCCCATGCCTGTAATCCCAGTGGCTCAGGAAGCTGAGTAAGGAGAGTCACAAATTCAAGTCCAGTCTCAGCAACTTAGAATGACCCTAAACAACTCAGTGAGACTTTGTCTCTATATAAAATATAAAAAAGGGCAGCGGATGTGGCTCAGTGGTTAAGCACCCCTGGGTTCAATCCCCAGTACCAAAAAATAAATAAAATAAAATAAAAATATAAAAGCCAGTTGAAGCATGAAGAAAAAGTGAACATGTATCTAGAAATGTCTCAGGATAACTACTGACTAGAGTTGCATAATTGGAAAAGAAAAAAAATCTCTTCGATTTTAGCAAATTAAAATTTAACCCTATTGAGATAAGCAATAAGTGTTTTAAAATTTAATCATATTTTTTTCTGAGTAAAAACTGTACTTCCAAATTTACACATATAGTTGACCCTTTTCATCTACATATTATTTTTAATCCCTTCTGAAATTTGAAAGACAACCCCCAAATATTCACTCTTTCGCTTCATTTCTCTCCAATACCTAACAAGCTATTGAGAATGAACATGAAAATATTTTCTTGCAAATCAAGCATGATAAAAGCATGTGCCAATGAGCTCAACTCCTAAGTGTTACAATGTGTACACACGGTGTAAAAACATTAGAAGCTGCCTTCTGATTGGGAATTCTTGATCATCATGCCCAGACCTGTAACACAGATGTAATAAAACAAGTCTACCGGCTCTTGAGAGCTGGGCCTCACTGGGTGGCCAAACATTGGGTTAGTCTCGTGGTTAAGGGTTTAGACTTTGCTTATACAGGTTTAGTAATATCTTCTTCATTTATTTATGGAGGAGGGGGGACAATGGCAAAGGAATTGAAAGGAGCAAGCCTTGAAGGCTCATGTACCTGGCTAAAAGTCACATTTAAAATAAAAACTTTCCTGAGAGACAAGACAATCACAAGTGTCCATTTGGAATATTAAAATTCAAATCAGGTTTTGGTGTGTGAAGAACAAAGGGAAGTTAAGATTCTTAAGAGACATTTTTGCAGATGATGGCAGCCTAACTCCAATGATGTTATTAATTTTGTTTAATTAATTGTTTTCCATACCTATTTGATAAAAGAATAATTTTCATCAAAAATACCTTTTAGCTCTGTAAATGATCTTAGCAAATTCCTGTAAAATTAGCACATAAATTAGAAAGAAGGAAATCAAATAAATAATATGTATTAAATATTCAACTTCACTAGTGATCAGAGAGATGCAAATTAAAACAAGTTACCAGTTTTTTCACAAATCAAGTTGATAAAGAATACATGAATAATAATATTGAAAGGTGGTCAAAGAAGAGAAATGGAGATATAAACTATACACTTATCTGTTTGGAAAAATCCATTAAATAT